GATACCGATCATCATAAAAATGCTTAATATCGGCGCCGATAATCGGCCAGACCTAGTCGGAATTACATTACTGGACACCTGTTGTCCCATCCAGCTCAATTTGAAGGGCTTATTTGGCGTCATGTTAAATTTAGGATGACCTATAGTAGAAAGCAGTGGGACAACCAGTGTGAGAGTATACAGCCCATTTTAAACAGAACAGCAGATCTCTGTCCACATGCACATTGTGACTGAAACACAGATTCACTCAGATTCACTGCCATCTTGCCCTTAGATACTTCCTCTTGTTGAGTATGTAAGCATGAGTCCAGACATTCTCTGTACTGAATGGTGCTGGACTGTTCACAGAGAGATCTGTGTGCCTTGCCTTTGTCTTCTGGGTCATTCTACAATGGCGGTAGCAGATGCTATTACTTTCAGCTGGCAAAAGGTCAAACTGCAATGCATACAATTCATATACAGTACCAGATCCCACTTTATATTAGGTGTCTTTAAATATCATGTACTTAATAATAAAATAATGAATTGTTAGGGATGATGAACCTATTGTGTTCATGTTGAATTTATAAAACCTTTTGCTGCCATTGAGGTGGGATACATGTAAGGTTATGGGCTGGTTTTGGTGGTCTGGTTAGGTTTAAGGGGTAGAGGTAGGGTCAGCAGTGTAATTATATATGTAACTACAGAAATTAATTACACGTGTTATTACAGGATGGTATTTTTTAAATATAAGTACAATGTAAAAACATGTATGTACACAAAAAGTGCATTGTATCAAATGATAAATTTAAATGTAAGTATAGTTAAGGTCACTTAATATAAAATGGGTCCCAATACGATATATGATTTTAAACACATTTGAACTGTAACTTAGTTCAGTATATAGTTAATATATACAAGCTTTCAATTTAAAAAATGTTGTCATCTCTTCTTAAGTTACTGCTCTATAATGTGACTGTAGTACAAACAAGTTGGCACACATATTTGTAAATATTTATAAATATAAACATAGTGTTTTGATATACTTTGAGATAAAACATTTCGATTTTATAATTAATATAATATTTTATTTTTATTATATATTTTATTATATTTAATAAAATATTATTTTTTAATCCGTTGTTATTACTGCAGTTTAAAACACCAAAGGGACTTTTATTAAAACACTTTAGAATGTACCTTGGTGTTACTCTGCTATGCCTTATATTAGATTGTTAATCAAAAATATTGATAAATAATTGATTCATTTATTTTGAAGAATGTTGATATCCAAACTGATTTGGTGACCACTGACTTCCATTGTATGGACAAAAATAAATAAATAAGCATGGAGACATTTCTCAAAATGTCTCTTTTTATGTTCCAGATAAGAAAGTATGGCTTTCAGGTTTGGAACGATATGAGGGTGAGTAAATGATGACAGAATTTTCACTTTTTGGTGAACTATCCCTTTAGCCTGCAATTGTCAGTGGTGTTACTGCTTCCTATTACAGTTAATTAGGAGTAACAAAATAGCAAAGGACAAAACAGAATTGCAGCCAAGGATAATTATACTGAAAATGATATGTTTTAAATTGTAAAATTATTTAGTGTAACTTTGATTGCAATGAGATAATGGAAATAAAGTCATTGGCACCAAATGGCACCACAGTTACAGTATGATTCAATTACTTTGTTGTAATGTTCAACATCAACGGTCATTAACTGCACATGCACACCTTGGTCCAGACTGGGCCCCAAACATATTGAGTGGCTTTCCTGATATAAACAACATAGCACAGTGGTATTCAGGCAGAGAGGCTGCATGAATTTCTAAGGTGATTAAAGGCTATAAATAACCGCCTGTGTGTTTTTAGTTCTGGGATGGTGCTCACATAAAAACATAGACCCTGCCCTTCGTAGATAGCACTGCAACCTTCAACCCGCAGACAACCAATCGAATGACACCCCTCAAACACTGGACTTAACACCTACTGCGTATCACCTCCTCTTCAATGACTGGCTCCATACTCTTTTTCCCACAAACGCATACTACAACTATCCATTTGAATTGATGCCATTGTTTTTCTTCTTATAACAATCATTGATTACTGTCCTTATTCTTATCATAATATATATTGATACTCCATTAGCTCTATTTATGGTAACCGTCACATGAGGTTTGCCAGTTTCAAATGAGCATTGTCCCTCCTCTAATCCTTTGGCCCTAAAATAACCCAACACACTTGTCCTCTCATAGATATCTAGACACTGAGCACATGAAACAGCCAGTGGAGCTTCAACTGCTGTGCGTGTTTGTGTGTGTGTGTGTGTGTGTGTGTGACAGAGTCCATTCCCACAACACACAGCATGTGCTGACTAAATGCAATAACTGTCAGTTCAAATGGACTAGTACGGTGAGAATTAAAGTTCTCTGAACTTGAACTCCACTGTCAGATCTGACGTTTTTAAGCTGATAGTGTTGAAATCTAACTCCTCTCAACATCTCTCATGCTTTCACTGTAGCCTCACATGAAATTAATCCATTTAACTTTTCTCCCAGTGCTGATTTATGGCTGAGAAAGTGAAAGATTTTTTAAATATTTCATTTGATGTTTATAGTTTATAATTTAATATCGTTTACTGTCAAATTTTACTAGCCATATATTTAAAAAAGATCAAGTTGGTTTTCCTTATTCCTAATAGATTTCCCACAGTCTGATCCAGTAGTATAAACCCTCTTTTTGAGATATCCTATAATTTTTTTAAATATTAAATGTGAAATAACCACAAACTATACAGATCTGTTTTGATCCCATGACCAGCCACAGACTAAATAACTTTATCCAGAACTGAGGCCTGATGAAGAAGGCAGAATCTAGGTTGTGTACTTCTGGGTGTGTATTCTCCAAACAACTGCCAGTGAGATAAATGGAAATGCTACCAGATAATTCTCTCCAGGTATTACCTCCGTAGCTACTAACAGACAGCTAAATACATTTAAGCTACTTAATAAAGGGGCAACATTTGTACTTTTACTTTCAGATTCTAAATAGCTTGCCAACAAAACCAAGCAGCATTTGTCTGACACAAACAGAATCAGAATTTCAATTAGGGTCACAGCATCAAATTGTCCATTTCATATTATATATTGTACATACATGACATACATCATCCTCTGGTCTGCGTGAAATTGCCGTTCCCTCACAGAGGGAGGACTGTGTGGATCGCGGGGGTGATGTGTCATTTTAGTGTCCCTCATCATTCAGTCTCATTCTCACTTCCCCTCTAGGAATCTGGAGTGGAGGACTGATAAGCGTAAAGGTCAGAAGTCAACGAGTGCAAGTTCTTGTTTGAGATGTGCTCAGGCTTCCTGCGGATTTGTTTCTCATTATGGTGTTGTTCTTGATGGTTTTGGCCTGGACCACATAAAATTGCATGAATGCCTTGACAAGGGTTAGCATCATTAACTTTTAAACTAAAGTCAGGGTTGGTTAAAAATTACAAAATTATTTAATTACGTTCTAACCTTTAGAAAGATCTAACAGTTCTGTTAAAGCTTCAGTGAAAATTACTTCATCTTTATTTTTCAGTCTTTTTAATAGCCTTTTTACAGAGCCTTTTTAGTGAACAGACCAGCACTTGAAAGCATTTAACTTCAAAAACATTAAATGTGAGTTTTGATGCATGCAGTGTACAAATGAAAAAGACAGAGTAACCTACATTTATGGTACAAAAAGTTTATTTAGTAACAGCTTTGTAAACATTTGAGGTAAATTAACATTTACATCAACTTGTTCTTATAAAATTGAATACACAAGGCACTTCTCTTAAGACAGCATTGAAACAGGCTGCTGTTCTGAGCATATGTAGGTGGTTCTTTTCCCTGATTGGTCAGAATAATCAGCTCTGCTCGAGAAAATCAGTTCAAGAAATGAGTGTTATCTGAGAATAATGGGCTGCAACTAAGTACACTACAAACGGATCGAGATAGGAAAGAGCTGGCTGGCTGGCTGGCCAATTCAAATTCAGAATGGATGAAATGCTTTAATGCACAAAGTTCAAATTTTCTGCTGTCCTTTCAGGCCACCACAACAGTCCTAAAATAAAACATGGGAAACGTGTATATTTCTTATACTCTACAAGTGCTGTTTTATAAATTACATTTGATGTTATTTAAGTGGAATAATACTGCCATCAACACAACGACTTTTACCATTAAGACATTTTCCTTTAAGGACAAAAATATTTCCGCCTTTCTATCAATGTAAGAATTATTGAACAGTGTCTTTTGCCTAAATGTGCAAGTCTTCAACTTTTTACTAAAATGTAAACTTTAAGAACCGAAAAATGACAAAATAACACACTTTCATTTATGGATACATTAAAACAGCAGAAAATAAATAACATACATCTGTAAATACTGTGATCTGATAAAAGTAATGGTAATACTGTCCTAAGCACAAACTCTACGTGATGACGCAATGTACCATTTCTATTTCAGGGCTGACTGTCTCCTTAAATGGATTGCTGAAATTTATACCTGATAATAAAAGCAACATACATTGTGTTTAAATGGGTCTCAAGAACAGTTTTGTAAAGGTTTCTAAAAGAAAAAAAATCATGTTGTGCTGTCATGTTGGTGTGGTGGTGGGGGGTAAACTCATATCAGCATAAGACACTTGCAGCATCTTTTTATGTCCATTTTGAAGTAACTTTTTGGCAACCATGAACTGACTACAGAAAATCAATGTTTTTTTTACTCATTCTCAACCATTTGCTTACATTTTTAGAAAATGCTCAAACTTTTTGAATTAAAAACCAATAAGGAATCCAAATGTCACATGTAATGAGAGTTCGTACTCCCCTCATCCGATTAACTACTTCAGAAGTGATCATGTATTCCTGATGGCAAGATTGGACATGGTCATATATCAAAACTCTCAAATCCAGCAGAGTAGGAGGATGTGAACTTCAGATCATGGAATTTAAAAAAAATTAAAAGAAACTTGGTCCAGAGAATATGCAAGCTATATGAGAATTAAAACCCTGCACCATTCAGTAGTACAACAGTTATCTAAATATTTCACTTGCCTCAGTAATATGTTCATGTTTCAGTTTATGGATGACCTTCTCTCTGTGATGCATTAAAGTTTGCCACTTTTATCAGGCAATGTGCTTTTTACTTTTTTCTTCCTCAACCTTCTGATTTCTCTTTAGAGTGAGGAAATGTAGAGACAGATGCTGGAACAACAAAGAGAACATTTTAAAAACATTTCAAGATGGGTGTTCATGAATTTGACAACTACTTTCCTCAGTTACTTCAACTACTTTCTTTTTTCCCATTTCTCTCATATGCTATTCAAGTCTTCAAAAAAAAAAAAAAGAATACACAAGAGTATGTCATTATCTACTCAGTTAAACTACAGAGTGTATTTATGTTGTATATTAAATGTATTTTTGCTTATTTGTAATCTGTATTATTGTACTGCAAACATTTTTTATTTGGTGACTTTGAATCAATATACTTAATAAATTGAACTGACTGAATGGAAATTTTGGCATTAAGGCCTTGTCATAAAACTAAATTAAGTGACATTTTTTTCAGTGAATCATTGAGATTCTGGTGTAACAGGTGTGCTGCTTCATTCAACTACTGCATAACACTAACCAGCATTCAGAAGCCATCTTTCATTAGCCCATAAGAAATGACTAAACTCTTTGCAATTTTATGTTGCAAAATTAAATTAATAATGAATGGAATTAATTTTTTCATTCCAGCAATATGCCTCTCACTTCCTCTTGTTTTTTGGTGTATTATGTTTTGTCCACAAAAACCTACGCTTTGCAGTGGAGAGCCACTACACCGCCAAATCATTGGGCCTCGCTCTCGCGCTGCTGGCTTTACTAGCCCTGCTCAGTCGTCGAGCATCAGTGAAAATAACAGGCGGCTCATGCATCTCCACCGTGGTGGTGACGTGCCCCTCCTCCGGCCCAGCGCTCAAACCAACACCAGGGGAGGTGGGGGTGCCAGCGTGCTGAGCGGCGTCTTTGGCTTGCCACCCGTTATCGGAGGAGTGGGAGGAGGAGGCGGCGTTCATCTCCCGAGTCTGCTGCTCGGTGGCCAGGTTGGCCCAGTTCTGCTCGGCAGCCAGCCTGTTGTTGTTGTTGCTGATGTAGAACGGCAAGGACTCCTCGCGCAGAGGGTCCATCTTGAACTCGGCCGTAGAGGGCACCGACACAGGCTGGAGGAACGCTCCGCCACCCACTGCCACCTCCGTATAGTCTGGCGGGTAGCTGAGGGTGGCAGGCACAGTTCTAGTAGACCCAGGCTCCGCTTCGTCTGCGTCGGGCAGCGACTCGCGGTCGGGGGCAAACTCGTTGGTCATGCCCTGTTTGACCTTCTTCCATCCGAGGTGATAGATTTCTAACAAATTCAGCAAAAGGGACACGCAAGCCACCACAAGCATAAATATGATGAAGATGGTCTTTTCCGTGGGCCGGGAAATGAAGCAGTCCACCGTATTGGGGCATGGCCACCGCGCACACTTATACAGCGGCCGCAACTGGAAACCATAGAGGAAATACTGACCTAAAATGAACCCCACTTCAAACAGAGTCTTGAAAATTATGTTGAACACATAAGTGCGCAATAAGGCACCTCTAATGCGGATTTTGCCATGCTCGTCTCTGATTGGCGGCTTCTCCTTTTTGCCACCGCCGCCCCCACCCCGTCCACCAGACTCCCCTCCCCCTCCATTTCTATGCAGGAGTTCTTTCTCATCCTGGAGCCGACTAGCCTTTCGCAGCTCCTCCTCGCGCTCTTTCCGCTTCTCTTCCATACGAACAATGTGCAGGACATGGCCCAGGTAGATGAGCGTCGGTGTGGACACAAAGATGATTTGGAGCACCCAGAAGCGGATGTGGGAGATGGGGAAGGCCTCGTCGTAGCAGACATTCTCACAACCGGGTTGCTGCGTGTTGCAGGTGAAGTCCGACTGCTCGTCGCCCCAGACCTCCTCGGCTGCCGCTCCCAACACCAGAATCCTAAAAATGAAGAGTACTGTCAGCCAGACTTTGCCGATCACGGTTGAGTGTTCCTGTGCATTCTCCAAGAGCCGTCCAAGAAAGCTCCAGTCACCCATGCTTCACGATTTCTAGCCTAGAGAGAAAGTACAGTCTGAGGGCAAGAGAGAGAGAGAGAGAGAGAGAGAGTCAGGTGAGAGAAAGGGTTAAAAGGGGAACAGAGAGGATTCATCAGAACTAGTTAACAAAATAACATGTTACACTGTACATGAGACCGTTTGGATCTTCTCAGGCCTGCACTCACCATTCAAACAGGCACAGCTAAAGGTAAATGAATGTATAAAACACGCTCAGCCCTCGTGAACTCACACAGCATTTCACGGTTCTGCATAAGATCTGAATGGTCAGTTCTGATGAAGCCCTTGCCAAACCCCTGCACAACTTTATCAAATAACGTTTAGGAAAACCAAGCAAATCAACCTTGTCATTGATCACTGTAAATATCACATTAAAAAAAATGTTTGACAAACTTATGGATTCCGTGACCCCTCATTAGTTAACTCTCTAACTGGCTGCTATGAACCTGGCATGTACAGTGTAAGCAAACTCTCTCTGGCTCGCTTTCTCTCCAGTCACTGACACACACACACACACATACACTTGTACACACAGTTTTTCACCACACTCATACACACGGTCTATTTCTCTCTCACCTGTTCGCTTCACTGCCCAGCAGGCATGTGCTGAGATCGACATTATAATGTTCAAAAACAGTTGAAAGCGTTGACTGGACAGTGATGCGTGGAGAGCCCTGATAGAGCCAATTTTAGGACATCAAGGTGAAGAAAGCAGTGAAATATGGAGACAGGGCACTGCCAAAACCAGGCCACTTTATAGTTTTGAATCTTCACTCAGATCATGTCTACATGAGTGTAATTAATTGCCAGCTAAAACGGTACAATTCATGAATTCACCCTGTAGGTGCTGTAAGTGCTTTGAAAAATTGATGAATTCAGACATGAGTGTCATGATATAACCTAAGGATTTTGATCAAAACAGATTAATCTGATCATAATAAGCTCAAATAAACAAGAAGATTGAACTAGATGTAACAGAATAAGATTGAGATGGTATTGCCATAAGTAAACAAAGAACCCCAAAAGAGCAAAATATACAATAGAAAGAAAAACAATATATTTACTTACTAAAATTATGTTGTATTGAGGGCGGCAAATCCATCGACTAAGGTTCTAAATCAAGTCTATGACCCTGAAAGAGAAAGTGCAAGTTACATAATAAGAATAAGAATAATAGAAAACAGTTATTAATTTATTTTACATTTAACTTGATTTATTTTACATTTATATCTTTTTACATAACTTTATAGAATTGTAAAATATTTATTTATTTCGATTTTTTTTTTTTAAATCCTGTTTCATGGATGATGATAATTTTAGCCCTTTTATATATTTTTAATTCCAGTAAATTATGGTCTAGTATGGCTCATTTCTATCAAATTATCCTAAAAATAATTTAGTTCCCAAGGCAGCTATCATTTTCATTACAGTTTTTAAAGTTGCTAGTTTATAATTATCACTAAATTATCACGACATTGATCTATCAGCGAAGCATTTAATTACAAAATGCTACTGTTTATATAATTAGCTGATGATAGTAATTGTCCACTGTTCTCAATGTACATTCAGGTCAACCTGTCAGAGAGAGGCAGATTTTCTATTTGCACTGATTATGTGCTGATACCTGTCATCTCACTGAAAGAGAAAGTGCAAGTTACATAATAAGAATAAGAATAATAGAAAACAGTTATTAATTTATTTTACATTTAACTTGATTTATTTTACATTTATATCTTTTTACATAACTTTATAGAATTGTAAAATATTTATTTATTTCGATTTTTTTTTTTTAAATCCTGTTTCATGGATGATGATAATTTTAGCCCTTTTATATATTTTTAATTCCAGTAAATTATGGTCTAGTATGGCTCATTTCTATCAAATTATCCTAAAAATAATTTAGTTCCCAAGGCAGCTATCATTTTCATTACAGTTTTTAAAGTTGCTAGTTTATAATTATCACTAAATTATCACGACATTGATCTATCAGCGAAGCATTTAATTACAAAATGCTACTGTTTATATAATTAGCTGATGATAGTAATTGTCCACTGTTCTCAATGTACATTCAGGTCAACCTGTCAGAGAGAGGCAGATTTTCTATTTGCACTGATTATGTGCTGATACCTGTCATCTCAAAAAAACAGCTCTTTTCTTGAAATGTGTCTAAATGATGTTAGCTGTTAGAAGGCAGAAACCATTCAAACTGAAGTCTACGTTGATGGCCTACTAGATAGCAAAAAGTCATATTAATTGATGTGGGATGTAAAAAGATAAAAGAATCGTACACCTAACTTAAAGCATACCTTGACTGAAGTAGGCAAACTTATCTAAAGAAAGCAATATCCAGCGGCCACTGGTGCCACAGTTTGAGTGCGTTGAAAGCATACAGACCTCCCAAAGGTAGCAGGAGCCCTCCCCGCTCCCCCCGTTCCCAAATACTGGCAGCACTGCCAGCTTACCAAACTCTTTTGAAAGTGGCCACCTAACTTATTCATTCACAAAAGTTCTTCACACATAGACCCCAGGTCAAACTCTCGTAGAAAGCCTAGTTTTTCATGGCAAATCGAGGGTGGAGACGGGGTCTCACCAAGCGCAGCTGTCTCC